TAAAAAATTGATATTTTATGCCAACTTTTTTAACAAATTGACCATCTAAACCAAAATGAGATTTAATTTTTTAAAAAAATAGCTATGATGCTAACGAGGCGATTGACGAGGGAGGATGACGACAGCGACACAGGGTGAGGCGGAAAAGGCAATGGCGAATCCCACTGCGGCATTTTTTGTTTATTCGCTGGAATGAACAACTATTTTTAGAAGGATTTTTTAACTTAACTGCACAATGGAATTGCCGATGAAATAATTCTGCCGCCCCTATTGAAAATGTTGTCAACGATTTTTGTCATCCATTGGCAAAAAACACATTTCCGTCGTGAATTCCATCGTTCTAAGCAGTGCAGGAACATTCCTGCTTTATGATAACGACAAAAATAGGAACCCATCGTTTATTTGTCACCTATATTGTTCGGTCACTTTTTCCATCGTTACGAACAATGAAAACAAACCTTTTCATCGGCAATTTATTGTCGAGAAAGATTTTGTTAGTTATCATTTCAACTAACGTTTTAGATAAAGTTTTAATGGTGTAAATTCACTTTAAAAATGATAAAACTAAATACTATCGTTAAATAACTTTTTCAATATGATAAAGCTTGACACTGAAGTCGTTGCCAAAGTGGCCCAAAACCCTACAACTCTACATTCTGAAAAACTGGAAAAAAATTTTAAAAAAATGACTGGAAGGGATGGTCGACTATACAATGGACAGGTAGAGAAGTTTTGCCAAATGGGGGCCTTCATCACACGAGTTTTAACATGTATGTTCCAAGATTATATGCATGTATATTCATATACTCGTCCATTTTTATGCTGTTGAAAAAGGAGCAGTATATAATGACAAGACAATAATCAAATTGTATATTGTCTAGCAGCAAAAACAATATACAAATGAAGAGTAAAAGTTACCAAACATTCAGTCAAAGAATATTGTACAATCACACATGCACACATTTGCAAGCAAGCCACATACTGTTGGTCGAGAATTCCAGTTTACACCACATCATTTCTTCACTCCTACTAGTGCAGCGAAGACACGAGGACATTGTGTTCCTTCAAACGCCTTTGAAAATGAGACAAACGGTTTTGCAACCGAAGGATGCCAGCAGCCTTTTGGGAAAGGATGGCATTCAGTTGGGACACATAGTGGTCTAGCTGATTCCCCGGTTGGTCTGCCTCAACCAAGAGATTCATTTCCTGTGAAACGGGTGGAGTGGGGATGGGGGGGCACAATGAAAACTTATTAACCTTCCATGTATGATAA